GGCGCGGGCGGGGGCTCGGGGTGCTCCGCGCCCCTAGGAGTTCGGAAGCCGAGTCCTGGAGGCGGCCTGGACCCCAGGGGCGTCCCCGCCCCGCGCCCCTGGAGGGAGACAAGCGACCCGAGGGCCCTGGAGCACCCGCCCGGGGAAGGGTCGTGGCGCTGTCCCTGCTCAGACAAAGGCGGGCGCTGGAGGGGGGGACATCCACTTCCCCTTCCTTTTCAGCCCGGCGCGCTCTGATCCCTCCTGCTAGCAGGCCCACGTCAGCTATTTCTGGAGCCTTTTACGCCACAGCTGGGGGAGCATTTTAAAAATTCCCTTTCTGTTTGTCCGTGTCTTCCCCTCCCCCCTCCCCTCCATGCACTTGAGGCTTCAACCTGGGGCCTCTCCTTGGCTTGACCTCTTTTTCTTGCTGGCCGGGCCATGCACGCCCTGCCTGGCTCTCCTGCTTCCTCCCAGAGCTGGAAGCCCGCGCAAAATGTCCCTCTCCAGAGTCCTTCCCACAGCTTCTGGGGTGCCTTTAGCTCCCTGCTGAGGAGAGAAGACAGTAGTTGGGTCTTAGTACGCAGGACTTAGCCAGAGCCTCTATGACCAGCCAAGCCTCCCTGCCGGGCATGTGGGGTTTGGCCTGCCGCCCATCCTGGCTGGCTACCCAATGACAGCTACCAAAGGCCGGGAACCAGGGAGGTCCCTTGGCCCTGGCTGATGCCCGTTGCCATGGAAACCCTTATCCCGGTGGGGGCGAGCTCCTTGGGGTGAGCCCGGAGCGTGAGGAGGAGGGGGCGCGGCCCGCAGAGCCTGGTCTGGCCGTGGAGGTAATCGTTAACTGAGTGTGGGAGCAGCTGCCTGGAGCCAGGGGGTGGGGAGCAGGGAAAGGGCTTGGGCCCCAGCCCTTTCTCTCCTGCCAAGGAGAAAGGGGCACGTTGGCTTTTATACTTCTGGGATTTGTCCCTGAGGGGTCAGCCCCCAAACGCCAAGTTTCTAAGTGTCCCAGGCTCCAAAGATTCCCATATGGCGCCACCTTCAGCAAAATATGGTGGACGGTAGATACATTTTCCAATTTTCCTTTTTTTTCCTGCGTTGATGATCAACAAAACAAATAAAACACCCCAACAAAACGCACCCCATAAACAAGAAAACAAAGCCCCTTTTGGAGCCTGAATTTAGATGCACACAAAAAAGTAATCAGTGGCAGGTCCTTCCACAAACCCCTGTGTGGGTTGGTTATTAATGGGAAAATGCCTGGTGTTTGAGTTGGACACAGACTGTACAGTTGAGCCTTGGCGGTTACCTGGCAACGCAGCTGGAGACAGAATACTTGGCATTCCCCTTGATGACAAGGAGAGAATATTTTTTGGCTCAAACAGTCCTGTGGCGTTGCTGCCCGGTAGTTCCCACACGCGTCTCTTCCTAATTCTGAGACTCCACGGGCCTCCACTGGCTGCTGGTGGTGGTTCTGTGAGTTAGAGCTTAGGGAAGTGGGGGGTGACTCTGTGAACTGCCCAATGGGAGAAAGACTTCTCTAGCCTTCCTCGACTCCATACCTAGCCCAGAAACTTCTGAATTTGTGGCCCCTAACTTCTCAGATCTTTCAGCTGTGTCAGATAAGACACTCCAGCGGTGCCACCAAAGCTGTTTTGAGTGGTTGTGTTTAAGCCCTGCAGGTATTGAGGAGACACCTCTCACAGAGAGCCTGGCACCTGCCTCCAGATCTTCTGTGAGGGGTGAGGCCTCGGGCTGATTCCGTTCAGGGTATGACACGCTGGAAACTGTCTGCTAATTACTGGAAGACTTCGCTGGGGTTTATATTCTGTAAATCCATGTTAAAGATACCACCACACCAGGCAGATTGGCTCATGCCTGTAACCTCAGCACTGTAGAAGGCTGACGCTGGAGGACTGCTCGAGCCCAGGAGATTGAGGCTTCGGTGAGCCGTGATGGCGCCATTGCATTCCAGCCTGGGTGACAGAGTGAGACCCCTGACTCAAAAAAATAAAGAGAGACTGAGTGAAGTGGCTCACACCTGTAATTCCAGAACTTTTATTTTTTTTAAAATCTATTTGTTTGTTTATTTATTTATTTATTTATTTATTTATTCAGTTGTAGTCTTACTGTCCTCCAAGTTGGAGTATAGTGGCATGCTCATGGCTACCGCAGCCTTGACTTGCTGGGGTCAAGCGACTGATCCTTCTACCTCAGCCTTCCAAGTAGCTGCAACCACAGGAATGCACCACCATGCCCAGCTAATTATTTATTTAGTTATTGTAGAGTCAAGGTCTCGCCAAGTTGTCCAGGCTGGTCTTGAGCCCGTGGGCTCAGGCAGTCCTCTCCTCAGGTTCCCAGAGTGCTGGGATTACAGGCATGAGTCATCGCACCTGGCAATTCTATCACTTTAGAGGTTGAGATAGGATTCCTTGAGCCTAGGAGTTTGAGAACAGCCTGGGCCACATAGTGAGACCTCCTCTCTACAAAAAAAAAAAAAAAAAATTAGCCAGGCATGGTGGTGGGCACCTGTAGTCCCAGCTACTCAGAAGGCTAAGGTGGGAGGATCGCCTGAACCCAAGAGGTTGAGGCTACAGTGAGCCGTGATCATGTCACTGCACTTCAGCCTGGGCAACAGAGTGAGACCCTTGGCTCAAAAACAAAAACACAGCAAAACAAAAAACTCCAGCAGACTGCAAATTTTAATACACTCTAGGTTGGAAGCTTCTCCAGGGCATGGAGCTCATTGTTGGGCAGAGATGCCACCTATGTACATCTGGTGCAGTCTGCTAGTGAGAACTTATTGGCCTCTGTGTGAAAATGCATCCCATGAGGGCCAGAGGGGGAGAGAACACATTTGTCACAGCAGGAGGCAAACGGAGTTGACCTTCACTGATGCCTTTAACAAATGGATTGTGCTCCTGCTGTGTGCCAGACACCACAGACATTTCTGGGACTAGAGCTGGGAATAAGACTGGCAAAGATTTCCTAGCTTCATGAAGCTTATGTTCTGGTGTGGGAGGGGACAGGTAGTAAACATGATAGAAGTTGACTAGTGAGGCCAGGCAGGGTGGCTCATGCCTGTAATCCCAGCACGTTGGGAGGCCAAGGCGGGAGGATTGCTTGAGCCCAGGAGTTCAAGACCAGCCTGGGCAACAAAGCGAGACCTTATCTCTGCCAAAAAAATTAGAAAAATAAGCCGGGTGCAGTGGTACACCTGTAGTCCCAGCTGCTTGAGTGACTAAGACGGGAGGTTGATGCTGTGGTGAGCCTGGATCATACCACTGCACACCAGCCTGGATGATAGAGTGAAACTTTGTCTCAAAAAAAAAAAAAGTTGACCTGTGGCGTATAGGGTCCCAAGAACTAAGGAGAAGAAACAGGAAGCGAGGTGTGCACAGAAGTTTGGACAGGGCAGCTGAGACGTCCTCACTGAATGAAGTGCCAAGGAGGGGAGCAAGTGGGCTGTTTAGGAGTTGGAGGAGAAAAGACCTGCAGGTGCCAGGGTCACGATGAAGGAGCAGAGAGGACAGTGCTGAGGTGGCCCGGCCTGTCCCACAGTGGGCAATGGATGAGGCCCTGCAGCGGCCCCTTTGGAGGACCTTGGCTTTGACTCTGCGTGAAAGGGGTGGCTTTGAGGGTTTTGGGAGAGTGTCGTGATCTGATTTCATTTTATCAGGAGCAGCCTGGCTTCAGGACCTGGCGAGACAGCATGATGGCGTGGACCTGGACCATGGTGCCTGGGGGTGGTGAGAAGGGGTTGGATTCTGGGTATATCTTGAAGGAAGAGCAAATAGGGATTTTTGATGGTTTGGTTGTAGGTGTGAGAGAAAGGGAGGAGTGAAGGATGACACCAAAGGAAATACTAGAGTCTGTGCCGACTTCCCGAGCCTCTGGGAATCGGGGCCTTTCCTCCACTTTCTGATCCTTCCCTGGAACATGCTGACCAGCAGGAGCAGCCTCTCTGCTGAGAGCCACGTGGGAAGGAATGCGAGGAAGGCAGTTCTGCCTGGGGCCAGCCTCCCGGGGAGGAGCCTCCAGCCTTCAGCTGGGAATAGCAAGCAGGACCTGAAGCCAGGAATGGGTTTTGAAATCCTTACTCAGCGTTGGGTGCTAGGCGCCCCAGACAGGGAGGAGAGTTGGCCTAACGGACCTCTTATGACTGGTGTAATTCCATCCAGCCCTCTTGCCAAGAGGACAGTTTGTGCAAGGCATCGTCTGAAGATTTATGGTGGCTGTCAAGAGGTTTTCAGGGAGGCCTGGCTGCTGCTCCTTGCACATCAGGTGGCTTGTCACTGTGACTCCACCATATAGGTTGAGCAGCACACAGGGGTCTCAAACTCCGGGGCCCTGAGGCGCCCTGCATGGGACATCTCGGGCATAGACTGATGGGAGAAGCCATTCTCAGCCCAGACTACCGCCATGAGTTGTGCTGGCTGTGTATTTAGATTTATTTATTTATTTTTTGAATTGGAGTCTCACCCTGTCGCCCAGACCGGAGTGCAGTGGCCGCTGCCGGCCATCACAGCCTCGACCTGCTGGGCTCCGGCGATCCTTCCACCTCAGCCTTCCAGGTAGCCAGAATTACAAGCATGTGCTACCATGCCCGGCTGATTTTTTGATTTATTGTAGAGAGGAGGTCTAGCTGCCCAGGCCGGTCTTGAA